GCCGTCACTGAGAACCAGAGAAAATGTACTGTAGAAGGACCGTGTCTGAAGGATACTCCGCTTATCCCACTTACATTTTGGGGTCATCCTGGTTTTACCTGGGAAGGGGGGGGGCTGGCTGTCTCAGCCCACACTGTTATCCATCAATGTTACTGAGTGCTTTTGTCTTGTGGTTGGCTGGCTTGGTACGAGACAGCCCCCCCCCCGTTTCAGTGGCTCCCCTTACCTTTGTGTGTGCTTGCTGTTTGCCTTACTCAGCCAACGAGCCGAGAAGACCAACCACATGTTCTCCAGGGCAGCGTTTATGCGCTCGACTTCATTTATCCAGCCTAGTGTTAACTGGACAGCATGCTGTGTTTGGGTATATATTTTCTGCTGCACATTTTATTCATTTTTTTTGTTCGGATGTATCAAGAGTGAGCTCGCTGCACTGGAGGACAGGCAATGCATTTTACTTTAGTAGATGGAGTGTAAGAGCTCCCGATGGTTCTACCGGCTCACACACTCACCAGCAATGCGGGGGAGTTCTGATTCATTCACACACTCTTTAATATTGTCACCAGCAGCCGCCTTTTGTCTTAGGTATTCTGGTGACCATAATGTAGTAGGAAATCCTAGTTTAATTTAATTTTTCTTATTGATCTTTTAACCATAATTTAACTATGGTCAGAGAAGCTTCTTGGTATACAAATAGCCCACTAACTGACATGTTTTAGTCAATATTCTATATGCCCATGATAAGAAGAAATATGTTGAAGTAGTTAGGTACACACACACACACACACAGGTGTATGTTCTATAAATGCCAATTAGGTTAGTTTTGTTTGAATATTCTATATTCTTCATGACTCATTTGTCTGATTATATCATTTAGTAAGATGGGTTTTTAAAACTACTTGGTTAAAATGGTAAACTTTAATTTTTTCACTTCTGGTCATTCTTTAATTCACTAACTAGTTCTGTGTGTATGAGTGTATGTATGTGCACCAGATGTGTGCAGTACCCACAAAGGCCAGAGAGGGAGCTGTGCCTCCTGGGACTGGAGTTACAGACCATTGTGAGCTACCATGAAAGTGCTAGAACTTGAATCCTGGTCCTCTGGGGAAACAGCCAGTGCTTTTAACTGCTGAGCCGTCTCTCTTGCCTGCGTTTCTGCTTTAGCTGTTTTTGCTTCATGTATTTTCAGGATGTGTTGTTAGGTCAAGGTATTTAAGATGGTTATATTTTCCGTGTAAACTGAACCTTCAATCACTATGAAATTTCCTTTTTTTTTTCTAGCATGCTTATCTTAAACTCCACCTTGTCTGGTGTGAATGGGCTAAAATGGCTTCTTTTCTGTTTGTGTCTACACTTGTAGCAGCTTGTTTGTCATCCAGAGGTGACCACAGTATTTCCTATCCCAATTTTTCTCCTTATAATGAAGCCTTGAAACTCTTTTGATTGAACTGTTGTGTCTATATTATTTCCCTTTGCAACTTTGTGTGTGTGTGTGCTGTCTGTCAGTTTGTCTGTCTGTGTGCCAAGTATAGCAAAAGAAATGCTGTGTCTTGTGATCTAGGTATAAAGACACTAACACACTCCATCTTGTCCCTTGGAACACAATTCTTGGGATTTAGCAGCTCTGTTTTGTTAAAACCTAAAGTGGACCACATGGAGAAATTGCCCAGAAAGACAATCTTAGCAGTTCTGAACAACTGTCCAGTTAATCACAACATAAACTGACAACAGTGAGACGTGTTTTGTGACACCCGTCCCCAGCTGTTGCAGTATGCTTAGCCTTAAAGTCATCCCTAGTCTTCAAATTCTTTCAGCTCAGGCTTCAGATAGCTCTGACCAAAAGCAAGCTCATGCCACTGTGCCCTTTCAGGTGCCTAATTATCGACATGATCCATTGTTGTTTCATGTCACTGATTTCTGACTTAAGTTATGAACAATCAGTAAAATATAAGTTTTCTCTTGTTAGCCTTAGGTTACAAACAGCATGCAGGTTTTTTTTAAAGGGGGACTCTGATAATCAGAATATTTGATTTATTCAAATTTAACACAATTATGTATATATTCCAGTTTAAACACACATTCTGCTTTTTTTTCCTTATTTGTTGTACCTTTCCTATATTTTTATTTCTTCCTTCCTTCTTTTTCTTTCTCCTTTTCTTGCCGATTATATTGCATTTTTCTCTCATTAGCTATACGCTAGTTATGGATTCTTTGGCAGCACTTTCTAGCAGTTACATTGGAAACTACAACACGCCCTGGACTTCCCACCTAAATGTATAGTTTGAGGCAATCATCCCAGATAACTGTCATTAAGTTGACAAGGAAGAAAGACACAAATGAGGGCCGAAATGGGTGCTGTCCAGTGTATACAAAGCACAATCTATTGAGTTTTTGAAGGGATCCTATTGTCAAAGAAACTATGGACTTTGGGGTGGTTATGTGCTCCAATTTTTGATGTGCCAAACACAATCTGCAAAAGCCTTTCAGCCACTTTCCCACCACCTTCACATGTGGCAGTAGAAGACAATGAACAATGGCCTCTTCTTGGAGAGGCCACGAGGAGGAATGGCAGATAAGAGAATTCTTCTCAGGAAGCAAGTCCTGATTAAACTAGATCCCCTTATTCTGGAGTAGCCATGCTCACCAGTGAAAAACAGCTGCATCTTCCTCTCCTTTCATAGGACGACAACTTTCCTACCCTCCGTCCTGGTGAGACTATGAGCTGATGCATTTAGGCCTGAGACAGTAAAGGTGTTCTGTGTGGGCTCAAAGCTGATGTGGGCAGACTCCTGGGAGGGGTACACTATGGCCAAGACTGCCGACTATCAACAAACTCACTTCCTTTTCTCCCTGGGACCACAAACCCAGTACCTATCACCCCTTGCAAGGAGGCAGGGCCTTGCTGAGTTCCAGCTGGTGGTCTATGAATACAAGGAAGTGGCCTTTTTTTTCAGGAAATACCACTCTGGGGAAAAGCTTCTGTTTTGCTCCCTTTATCTCCATGCTGCTGAGCACAGTGACTTTAGAAGCCGTGAGTTAACTAGTGGACCCAGAAGACAGTAGAGACTCAGCTCCAACTGCTCACACACCTGTCTTGGAGCTTATCTGTATGAAAAAGACACCTCTATTTGGTCTACCAGCAACATCACTGGAACGAACACAACCCAGCCATACGCCTTTGTGGTTTGAACAAGAACTGCCCCCATTGACTCATATATCTGAATGCTTGGTCATCAGGGAGTGGCACTACTTCATAGGGATTAGTAGGTGTGGTCTTGTTAGAGAAAGTATATCATTGGGGGTGGGGCTTTGAGGTTTCAAAAGCCCAAAAGGCCCCGTGTCACTTTCTCTTCTTACTACCCATGGATCCAGATGTAGACTTCTTAGCTACTTCTCCAGCACTATGTCTGCCATCTTGATGACAATGGATTAAGCCTCTGAAGTTGTAAGCCAGCCCCCAATTAAACGCTTTCCTTTTGTAAGCGTTGCCGTGGTCATGGTGTGTCTTCAAAGCAACAGAACACTGACTAAGACAGGAAGTGTGGAAGAGCACAACTATGCCTTAAATCTCTAACTCTGATAGCCTTTTCGAGGCACAAACACAAGGCTATTACATGATGCTGAACTTTAAAGGCGAACTCTCCAAGCTCCATCCGGGCTGAGTGCCCAACCCATGTGTCTTGATCTCACGGGGCTTAAACTACACCAAAGCTCATAGCCTATTTTGTAAGGGAGACTCCAGGAGAACTTAGAAAAACTGGGGTCAAGAAGGGTCATAGATGCTCAGAAGTCAAGGTTCCAAGGGCTATGGATGCAGCAGCTCAGTGTAGAGGGAAGACCGGCATGTTCTAAGGCTCTGGTTCAGTCTTCCATCAGGTGAAAAATGGGGAGAAAAGTCACAGTTCCCTGAGATACTTTCATTGGGCTTCTCTTTTGATTGACATGGAGACAGATACTGCTCAAGAACTTAGTGATTCTTCTCATCATTTGGTGACAGAGCTGTGCTTAGAAGGCCAGGCAGGCATCTCTCTCTCTCTCTCTCTCTCTCTCTCTCTCTTCTTTTTATGAGACAGGGTTTCTCTGTGTAGCCCTGGCTGTCCTGAAACTAGCTCTATATATCAGGCTAACCTCAAATTCAGAGACCCACCTCCCTCTGCCTCCCAAGTGCTGGGATTAAGGACGTGTGACTCCACACCCAGATTCTTTTTTTCTTTGATTCTTAAAATTACATTTGTTTATTTCTGCGTGTGGTCGGAGAGGAGTAAATAAGCTATGGATTGTGTGTGGAGGTCAGAGGACAACTTGCCAAAGTCAGTTCTGTCCTTCCACTAAGTGGACTACAGGGATCAGACTTAGGTGGGTCTGTCTGGGCCACAAGGGCCTTTACTCAGCAAAACATCTCCACAGCTCAATCACATTTCTCTAGCCCCATGTGTTTTCTTAACAATTCACCCAGATTTGTCAACCTACATTATCCTAAATCACCAGTGCTCTTAATGGAACAGAAATGACTTGTCACAGAGTACAGAGGACCCTTCTAGAAGATGTTTATTTCTCCATTGGCACCCAGCCGCTTGCTCCAGGGCATCTCTCCATCCCTTGGAAAGCAACAGCTCCATTGTGGATGCAAAATTATTTTAGTACCAGGGCCTGGCCCTTGGACCACTTTCCCTCTTCATCTCTCCTCTTAACTTTCTGGCGTCTAACTCCTCATCCAGCCCCGATCCTGATGAACCAAACACACCCTGTATGTAGACAGACCTGCCAGATTCTTACTCCCAGGTTCAGGCCAGCAGCAGCAGCACCTCCCAGAAGCCTTTGGTTCTCCCCTAGTGCTTGAAACTCCCCTCCTCCACCCAGCTAGCCCACACGGCATCACATATCCTGGAGACACCACTATCTAGCTCTCACCAAGCCTCAATGCCGTCAGTCTGCCATCATGGAGGGTGGAGCCCAGGACCATGCTGAGTGGCGTGTATGGCACTGGGCACTGGCCCACTTACTGGCTTGGGGAGGGACTCCGGAGGTAGCGGGCCTGCACGGCTCTCACATCGGCTTCTTCCTCTTCGTTTGGAACTACCTGCTCCTCCTCTGGGTCTCCACCGGTCGCCATGACAGCTTCCGTCTGTGTGGCAGGAAAAGGTTGGTTAGGGAATTAGGTTCCAGAGGCTTTGTAGGGGGGAGAGGGTGTGTCACCAATGTCACCTTGGTGGACTGAGAATGGGGAGGGTACTTCATGCTAATATCCCTGTGGGTAAAGGACCCATAGGGATACCTATAAGACGGAGCCCAGCTATCGTTAGCAGGACACCATGAAGTGACACAATATTGAAGAAACGACAACTTGACTCCTTTCATGGATAGTAGCAGGAAAGCAGAGGGAAAGAAGAGGTTTATCTTAACTGTAGTCTGGAGGTTTGTAAAACACAGCAGACTCCCCAGATTAAAAAGGACACTTGAAGGCCCCCTTCCAACTACGCTAATGCTAACACCTTTTGTCTTAGTGGAAAACCCTCTTCTAGTGATATTTATTGACCCTGTGTCAATCAGGGCCTTGGGCTAAGTTTCCATCCCATGGTCTTTTAAGGCACAAGACAGCAGCTGTGGCCGTGGCCTTCCACTCAGGGTAGACTGCCAGTTGAGTCTATGTCCCAGCCCACCACAGTCGATTTGAGGGGAAGCACACTCACCTCGGGCTAGTGTGGCCACACCAAAGGCCAAGGACCCCCGGGAAATGACCGAAAGCTCTGGCTAGAGAGAGTCCAAGCGCTCTCCTTTCTGGAGGGCTTCTTCTCTGAGGGACAGCTGTTAACAAGAAACCTTAGCCAGCCTCTAAATTTAGCCTCTGGCCCCATAGGGTGGCAGCTCTCTGGGAGGAAGGAATGCAGGCTTCACTTAACCCTTTCCCTCCTGGCAGATTCTCAAACACTAATGTTTAGCCCTGAGAGTAGGCGAGCATATGGATGGGAGGGCCTAAGGAAAGCCCATCTCCTCCTGCAGGAGGCTGCCCACTCAAAGCACTTTCTGAAAAGTAAGCCGAATCAGAGCATTTGTAGTAAACAACCTTAACTTTGCCTCATAGCATCTTGGAGAAGCCTAGCAAAGAAAAATACCAGTTATACAGAAGAGGCTGGTCCTCAGATAGACAGGTCTGGGGAGAGCACCATGTTAGAGTAAACAGAGGTCATGGCTTGTGACCAGCCCGATGTTTTAAACAGAAGTGTCCAAGGACCGTACAGTGGGTCAGTTGTACCTTCCCTCTTATCTCTGCCTCAACATTCACGGCCCTGGTAAAATGGTCAGTTGCAACTAGGGGTAACAGAAGAGTTCTGAAAATGTCATAAACAGCAAAGAACTCACGACCCCCCTGTATCTCATAACATTCCTGCCACCATCCCTACCGTCCCCAGCAACCCAACAGTTCATCCTCTCCTCCTACATGCCCCAGGACTCTGCATTCTTTTGTCTATCTGTCTCCATATTTCTATTGGTTTCCAGTTTGCCCTTTCCACACTCTGCCGTTACACCTTCATCCATACATCTATCCATCTGTCTCCACGTTTGCAAATACTTGCTAATGCAAGACTCCAATGCACCAGGCCCCGCAGATGACTATGTTAGTTAGACACATAGCTCGACGTATCCTTTCTTCCCAGCTCCCAGCTCGATGGAACGATGCCCAGTGTAGTACCATCAGACACTGGCTGAATGAATGACTGAGCTCACAGTTTATTAGGAGGCATGAGACACGGACTAAATATAACTGAAGTGTAAGACAGAGTGTAGTTCTGGCCCTGGGAGAAACTCAGCATGCTGCACTGAATCACAAGAAGGAGCGGGTGCTTCTGAACCGAGAAGCCAGGGAAGGGAGAAATGATGCATGACCAGGCTTTTAGAGGATACGGTAGATGAAATATAACTGATATAACAGCGGGGAGGAGGTACAGAGAACGCGGCGCACAGTTCTGAGGCAGGGAAGAGTGAGCTGTGGCCGTGAAGAGATGTCAGAGTACAGGCAGAGCAGAGGTTACACACTCCGGAAGATAACTCTTGAAAGGGAGGGGGCGTTGAAGAATAAATCCTACTACACCTTAAAGGGCAATTTAAGGAGCGGACGTTTGTTTGTTTGCTCTGTTCTGCGGAGTCAGCACCAGGGCCAGAGTAGAGACCCGGCATCAGAAGGCCTGTCTCCGGGGGAGTGATCTGGCAGTGGTCGCCCAGAAATGTTGGAACTGAAAAATTATTGTGCACAATAAGAGAGAGCGATACTGTGACTAAGCAAAGTGTAATAAATAGAAAGCAATAACTTTCGTGAGCCGGTTAAGCCCGGTAGCCAGAAAAGGTCACTACAACTCATTTACACAGGGAATTTCTAATACGAGACAACAGCCGGGAAAACGTTTGCCATAATCACTCAATCCAAAAGAGAGATTCTCAAGACTACAAAGAGCCTCTAGAAACCAGTAAGTCCAGGGCCAGTAACTTTGTAGAAATGTGAACAAACTAGGAAGAGCAACACCTAGTGGCATATTATTACCCATTAAACAGAAGTCGGTGGGGCCGTATGTGTGAATGCAGAAGGCTCTAGGGTATTTTATTAAATGAAAAATCTTTACATGACATAATATTGTTTGTGCATATTCTGTAATGTAAAGAGTATCCTGCAATGCATAGAGCTTAATCAGATAGCTCTCCTGGAGAGCTCTTTCTTATAGGTGTCCTTGGCTGTCCTGGAACTCACTCTGCAGATCAGGCTGGCCTCAAGTCCACAGAGATCTGCCTGCCTCTGCCTCCTCCTGGGTCCTACTGTTCATCTCTTACATTTAAAGGTAACAGACATCTCAATTGTTTTGGGACTGAGGAATTCCCAGGATACAAGCCTTCGGTGTTGAAAACTGAAACAGGAGAGCGAAGACATAGTACTATCTCTTGGTTTCTTGTGTATTTGCTGCTTTCCGGGGCAGAGTACCAACTCTGAGTGCACGAACTCCCTGTGGACCCCCATGACCACGTCTCTGTCAGAGAAGAGAGGGGAGGCAGAAGAGAGAACAATGCTGGGTCCTAAGGCGGCTCAGCAAATGTGGGCAACACCCTTCTTTTACTAGCTTGGAACCCTACCTCCGCGACTGTTGCCTTTTAATGACGAGCCAACTGCTTCCCGTCAGTTATGAGAGGCCCACACCTACTGAGAAGTACAGGACTTTGCACCCCTGCTAAAGAGCGGGGAGAAAGCAGGAAGATGGAACAAGGGGGAAGACCCTTGTTGGGGCCTTTGGTAGGGCGGGTGGAGCATGTGCCCTGCCCCATAGGTGAGCTCACCAGCCAGCCATTGACAGGGCGGGGCGTGAGGCCCCAGCCTGGCTTGGGTGATCAGGAGGAGAGCTGCGGGGACTTCAGGCCGAGCCAGACCGGAGGCTGCGTAGCTTTAACCAGTCGGCCCACACCTGTCGGGTGCCAGTTCCAGGCTGGGTTTGGGCAGAGAAAGGAGCAAGACCATGCCGGGGAAGGCGGGAGCTGCGCTGTGGATGCTCTGTGCAAGTGAGTAAGGCCCTGTCACCCGGGAAACGGGTGACAGTGAAGGAGACCCTCACCTCGCCTGGTCCCAGCGACGATGCGTCCCACTGAGCAAAGCTACACACTATTGTTCCGAGGGACCTCTTCCAGGCCTGTCCCTAGATCAAAATGGTTCTTAAACAACCCCCAGCCCAGTGCAGGAACGAGGAAATTGAAGGGTCAGACATTTAGCCGGGGAGACACAGTATTTGACATCAAGGATTGTCCTAAGAAAAAAGGAAAAAAAAAAAAAAAACAAAACCATCCAGGGTGTGGATCTAGATACATTCATTATCCAGGGCAGAGGTTCTCAACCTTCCTAACGCTGCGACTCTTCACTACTGTTCCTCAGGCTGTGGAGGCCCCCAGCCATGAAGTTATTATCATGGCTACTTCGCAACTGTGGTTTTGCTGCTGTTGTGAATCATAATGCAAATGTCTGTGTTTTCCAATGATCTTTAAGCCACCCCCGTGGCAGGGTCTATCTCCGGAGGGGTCCCAGCCCACAGGTTGAGAACCATTGGTCTAGGGCTTTCCTCGTCTTCTAGAAAAGACACAAACAGTAAAAGTGTTACACCTATGCCACCTGTAGGGAACCTAGAGAGGGAGAAACGTGCTCATTATCCGGCATAGAGCAACAACAGGCTGAAAAGCACATTCCCAAGGGCCAATGGTCCCTACCCTGCCCCCTCTGAGCTCTGAAGTCTCTGGAGCAGAGACGCTCTCTCAACTCCCCCCAAAACCAGCGATTTGTGGGTTTGTGGCCGAATCAAAACTTAGGGCTAAATAGCAAAGCAGTTGTGTGGAGATGAGAGGGGTGGGTGAGGGTGTCTGGGCACTGAAATCTAGGGCGGGGGGGGGGGGGGGCTGAGAGAAGCTGAGTGCAGAGACCCTAGTCCACTGTGCTTGGCCATCAGCTTGCAGCTCAGAAAACCATTGTTGGCTTTCAGGATCCGGGGACTATGGGGAGGAAGTGAGAGCTCAACAGGAAGCTCTCCAGGTCCAAGAAGCCTGGGAAGCGGAGCCCAGGGGTAAAGGGGTGGGCTCTGGTTTCACAGTCTCTCCATCACACCCTGGCAAGGCAGGGACCAGCTGGGCCACCACCCAGCAGCCCTTCCAGGTCTCTGTGCTACCTCTCCAGTCTGTCTTGTGACCTTGGCCTGGCAGTGAAGGACTACCTGCTAGGAAGTAGGGATCAGACGAAGGCTTTGAGAGAGAGTTCATCAGTCTAGCAGGTTCAAGATCTGTGACAGGTCCATTTTCCCGAGGCAGACGTTTCCTTGTCATTAGCCTGCATGGCCTGTCCAGTCATTCCTTCATCTACTCAACTCCTTACCGGGCACACGGACTGGGCACGTGCCCCAGAGGCGGGAAGGCTGGATTCATCAGCATCAGCCTCAGCCGTTAGGTCCAAATGGAGGGTGCTTGCTTGCTTGCTTCAGGGGAGGGAGGCTGAAAGGAAATGACCACCTTCCCCCACTTGGTTTAGAAATTCTCTGACCCTCTCCTGAGCCATTCCCTGTACGCCACATGTGTGCACCAGTATAAAACCTGTGCTGT